TCGTGTCGGTTTCTGTGTTCTAAATTCATATCAGACACACATATATGTATGTATTTGCACATGACATTTTTGTAACAGTAATAGACAAGTAATCACAATAGCTCATATTTCTCAAACCAATCAACGACAGGCAAGCCACCCGGTGTGGTGCGGAACATGTTTGTGGAAAGTGTGCGGGCAGAGTATATGTCGAAGTGTGTTCAAAAAACTGAATGGGACAGGGATATGGAAATCGAGGAATTCACTAAGGTAAGCAAGAACAACATGTGTAAGATACGTGTATGCGAAGTTGACCTATCAGACTCACCCTTCGTGTCCTTGACCCGTAGTATACTGTACTATACTGTAGAGTGCACATAACTCCTAGCCTGTATCGGTAGCAGTATGCCAGGCTCGGTAGGAAGTCTAAGGCAGGCACAAACAGCACGTTTAACCATATGTGTAGTGCGCCTGTCAGATACGAACGTCGTGCATGTGCCCCACAAAAGGTGGACTACACTTCAAAGTGCAAACAACTTCTCGCGCATCTATTCGGGGTGGCGTCATCCAACGGTTGGTATGCGTTCACTATATGCGAGTTGTAGTATTTTTGGCGTAAAACAATCCTTTTTGAGAGTAATACAGAGTGTGTCTATCCCATGACCCAATTCAGGCCGCGCAAATGTTCAAACCTATGGCCTCGGCAATGACGTCGAGATTTGTTAGCGCCTCTTCCGCTGCTGAGAGCTCCGCCTCCAAACCGGTTGAAGGTATGCTCTATGGCATATGCATCTGGTGGATATACAAGGATCAGTGTGTGAGTTTCTGTTGTTTGTGCATATATGTCCTGGTGTGTCGAAGACATAGAAGGTATACTTATAAAGCATGGGCAGCTGTTGTGTGTATATGAATCAGTGTGTGTCTCGATGTTGGATATATAAGCACCAGTGTTTTCCGAAGATCTACAAGGTATAGTCACCAATCATCAGTGTCTATCATGTGTATTTGGGACAAAGTGTATGTCGCTGTTTTATATATGCGACATCATTCGTGAACTGCTGTTTACACACACACACACACAC